CTTGCTTCTCCGCCTGGACTCGGTGAAGACTGCGCGAAGACTGCGGCAATGACCGAGTCTCTGGACACAAACACCCTAAATTCGCACAAAATCTTTTGGACCATAGTGCTGTCTGGCGGGTCCGAAGCATCGACAAGCATCCAGAGAATCGTCGAATATCCATAGCATTGCCGGACATCCAGATCATCCGCGAATATCGACGAGCATCCAGAGTATCGGCGAATATCAGAGCATCGGCGAGCGCCCAGAGTATCCGCGAACGCCCAGAGCATCGGCGAGCATCCAAAGCATCCAGAGAAGCAAGAGCATCAAAATGAGCATCAAGAGAATCCAGGTTAAGGACTACTGGGAGTTCTCGGAAGGTCTAAACCTTGGAGAATCTAAGCCGATCTTCGGCAAGTCATCAAGACTATCGAAAGAGTTGCACGCGCTTCAGGAACTGCTTCAGCCCCCTATGACTCCTCCCCGCCACAGCGCCATGGCGATCATCAGCGGGCGTGCAAGCTACCAACGCATCGAACGTTCCTCGATACATCTTCTGCGATCCCAGCGCGAGCCAGGCACCCAGACTGCGGCGCTAAACTTGCTGGTCTTTGTGTGAAGTGCTGAATATTTACAAGCTTAGGCTTTGAGGGGCCACTTCTCATGAAAATACACTATTAGTATCGCTAGAGCTGTATATCCTGCATAAAAAAAGCTGTTCTCGGTTAGGGAAGCATTGAGAAAACGGTCGTGAGCTCTGAACCCATTCCATCCCAATCTTTGCCAGATCCCGGCTTCGACCGTGCAAGTGCTTCAAATACAAGATTGAGGGGGCACCTAATTCGGAATCAAATAAAAATAATAATTCTGTATATAGATAAAATAATTTCGAAATTCTGCTCCATATAGCTTATTTCTTAGATCGAAAAATCTTCTTTTCGAATTTCGTCTTATATAAAATCAAGAGCATAAATTTTGAAGCAATCTATATTTATTTTCTAAACTTAATAAAATTTATAATTCCGAACTTTAAAATTATAGAATAATTTTAAAAATATTTCGAAATAAAAAAAAATAAGATAGAAAAATAAAAAGAGAAATTTAATCAAAGAATATAAATTTATCGGTATTTATAAAATTAAAAATTATCTTTCAAAATATCATTTTTTATATATAATATAAGAGGTTATTTTTCTATTAATTTTTAGAAATTAAAGCGACCAAATGACAAAATTTAAATAATAATATATTTTAATAGAAATAATTTCAAATATAAATTCAAAATAAATTATATATTCGAATTCCTTATTGTAATTTAAATCTTAAAATATTAAAATTATTCATATTATAAATCAAATATATTTCCAAAATAAGATCCTAAAATTAAAATAAAGAAATATATTTAAAATTTATCTATATCAAACAAATATTATATATATATATGCATTTTTCTTATAAATATAATTTTCCATATAGATATATATATAGATAATTTTATATATACCTAAATCAAGATCTTTTCAATTATATATCTTCTATAGAAATAATATTTTATGAAGAAAAATGAAAATGATATATGCTCTTTTATGAGTTCAATAAATGTGTGTCTTATTAAGATACCTATTTATTAATATTCATAGCCAAAAATATATCTGAATCGAATAAAATATAAAATGAAATCTCGATATACCGTATGGAATCTGTGCTAGGATCGTCATGGAGTCGTATCACGAATCAATATTAATCTTTGCAATAAATTTTTCCGTGATTGAATATGGAAGTGCATAACGACACTAGAAGGCTGCCAGTCCGCGATCTTTCTGGTTCCAATCGCCAAACTATTCAGATGCAAGCTAAGCATGTGGGGCTTAAACACTCAGCATGCTGCCCATGCCCACGCATGATGACTCCATTCGAGGAGCTTCCAAGGTCGCAGCTGGACTTGCAAATCGAAGCCCTAAAACCCTACACCCTAAAATCTGAACTCAGCCGTGATTCTGGCATCGGAGCACGAGGCCCACACGCATTCGCCGGACGCTCGAGCAATGCTGCATGCTTCTGAAGGGCTCTGACTCAGCTGGTCAAAATTCTCATGGAAACCTTCCCTAAAACTCTTTCGTCGGATAGTCAGTACCCGAACAGACAAGCCATTCAGCCGGCCCTCCAAGCCACGATAAGTGCAAGACCTCACTACTTGCCCTTGTTCCTTCCCTTGGACGGTGGGCTGTGCAAGGCCTGTCAGCAGAAAAGGGAGTTGGGGAGCAATTCCCAACCCTAAGGCGAGAGTCCTAAACTGCTAAAAGACACATGAACCCTGAGGCTGTCCGGAGACAAGGAGTGTCCGTGCTCCGGAATATGGGAGCTTCCTAATTTGGGATCCCTTGTGTGGCAAGCGACGTAAACATATTCACAGAGACACCCTCAACGGGGATCGCAAATGGAATTTGCGACATCGGCCCAGCTTTCGCGGAACTTGACGGGATTTTAACAAAGCCTGGCAAGCCGTAGCAAAGCCTGAAGCCGTTGCCGCTTTGAGTGTTGAGGAGGAGTTTCAGGCCTTGCAGATGCGGAGTGGGGTTCTGTAGATGGCAGAGCTGCAAGCCATGTATTCTAGGACCAGCACGCTGTAGCAGCGCACGTAAACACTCGTGCTCTCGCTATGCGCTAGTGATCGCTAGTGCTGGTGAGTGCTGGTGAGCGTGTGTTTGTGTCGCTTCGTGTCATTTGCAGCTTCAGCCTCTGAAACTTATGTTTTAACGTTGCTGCGAAGAGAACTCTATTTTCCACTCCCCGGAGGTAGAGTCGCTGGAGAAGAGCGAACCCAGAGGCTTTCAGCTTTCGCATGCCTGATGCCTCCGGGCATGAAGCAGGCCCACAATCCCTACATCAAAGCTGGCGCGCAAGTCCAGGCATCGCACCTTACACAGCTTATGTCGCTAGCTGCCTTTGTAATCCCCCAACTTGAACAGCTCCCATCTAAAAACCTTCCGAACAGAAACACGTCTCGACATTCCACATTCTGAACCCCTACAAACAGAGCCTATGCATCTGACGATGGGAGCTACTGACCTGTTTCGAACTCCAGAACATGTGGACTACTCCTGCAAGATCATCCAAAACAACACAAATGGCAACACTAGAGTCACTAGAGGCATGCTTCTTATCAGTACTTCGACCTGTACCGATGCCGACAACTTCATGAACCAAGCTGGAAAAGCTCAACAAGTGGTACAACCTGGTTGGGAGTCCAAAACTTTCACAGCTTTAAGCAGAAGATGCTCCCACACCAAAAGAATCCCCAAACCCTAAATCTGCAAAAAGCTACGAAGGAACCCGCGGAACCAAGTAAGCCCGAGTCTCAAACGTTCGCAGACCCATCCAGACTTCCTACACCCCAAAACCAACCACGCCAAACACCGCATCCACTAGCAGGCAAAAAAATCAGAAAATATATGATACGACACGAGTATAACACAGTACAGTTGGCAGTCGTATATCATATCATACAGTTATAACACAGTACAGCTACTAGTATTCTATCATAACATATGATTATAACAAAGTATACCTAATAAGATTGTACCATAATATATGAGGCTCATATGATTATAACACGGTGTATCTAACAGTAATGTACCACCTCCGATGCAATATCATTACGAGACTTCTTCCGAGCCTCCGGGTCTGTCGCCACGCGAATCTCCGGTTCGGAGCCCCAGTCGGGTCCCCGCTCCCAGGGGCCTCAAGCAGTCATGGCGATGAGGATTTAGGGCTGAGGGCTTTGGGTTTAGGCTATAGGGTTTAGGGGAAGCTGTGGGGCACGACTGAGAGTAGAAGTAGAAAGAGTCGGAGTAGGAGTGTGAGTGGGGATGGCATACATGGAGTAGGGCTGTCCTTCTTAGTGCTGCTTTCCGGCATGGACTGACCGCTGCATGTCGGGCCGGCGTCGGCAAAGGTTTGAGTGTCAGCCGCTGTTGGGCTTCAGAAGTCTACCTACGGTCTCACAAGAGTAGAGGGATGGGGAAACTCTTACGGTCAGCACAGCACCTTGCATTATCTTGTGGCATCATGTGCGCTCTCGGCACTGTAGCCTTGAGGTTGCATAACTGTATATTATCCAGAACAGAACTCTTTTGATCTTTTGCAGTCCAACCAGAAACCTTCTGATCTTCATCCATTGCCCAGTAGACACACGCGAGAAGATGATTCTCAGAGGCGATGTTCATGTTCTCTTGCCGACATGTTCCAAGAGTGTGCGGAGACAGCGTGTGGAATTTATCAAAAGTGATATACGGCCTTTTAGTGTGCTCGCACAATCGACAATTCGACTCGGATCTCCAACACCAGCAGCCGAAACTCCGCCCTGTTCCACAGTCACTCATGACCACCCGCCCCGACCCAAAGCACACCAGCTACCACCAGTAGCACGCCTCCAAGTTGATCGGGAGTCTTGCCTGGAGAAGGCTGGCTGACCTATTGCCTTCCCGGATACCCCTAACCCTAGGTTTCAGGCTGTGTCGCGTGCTAGTCCAGATCATGTCCGTTCTCCCTTGCAACCCGAGACCCTGAGCCATGCAAGCGGACTTCAGATATCTCCTTCGGTTGAGTTGCAATGAACATTTGTTCCAAGAAGAGACAGAGAAATTCCAGCACATTCCAAAAAAGGGTGGCTCCGAAAGGCAAGCCCAAATACTACCAGATCTAACACCTCTGAGAAACCAGATTCCTAAGCTCTGCCGGGGTCTCGAGTTTTTCTATGAGGCCAGGGATCGAGCCTTTACGCGTTCCTTTAAGGGCCGACGGAGGTCCTGTGTAGTACACTACTGCGATAGACAAACTCGTCCGTACAGACACATGTGCTGACATGCACATACATACGTGGGTACCTGTGTACGTACAGATGTACACCACTACTTGCGCGGAGCGACAGCTGCTACACTGTTGTTGTTTGCTGCATGTCAGTTTGAGATGATCCAGACGCTCTTATCACACTTACGTGGGCTGTTCTTTGCCAATGTGAGCGCAAACCGAGCTTTACCCTCCACGCCCAGCGTGCTTGGTAGCGCAGCCCGCCTCCTGCACCGATGTGCCTGTCAGGGATCAGGGAGAGTACGCGTCGAATCTCGAGCCTTTCTAGTACACCGGGTGCTGTTGACTTGCCCTGAAGCCCTGCCTTATGTAGCCGGAATTGCAGTTGAAGTTGGCATCTTGCTCCTCTTCGTCGCCAATGTACCAGTAGCCATCGTTTCCTGCCTCGGGATGAATAAGCATACTACTGCTCAGGTTTGGAGGCCTGTCAAAGCAACAACTCGTTTTATGCACACCCTGGCTTCAATGTAGGCAGCAGTGTCGTTGAAGCGAGGGACCACATGCGGAGACTGCAAGCTCAATCCCAAGCTCGCCCTTTAAGCCTTGCTGTCCAAGCCACATAGAGGAACCGATCGCCGCGTTCGTTAATCCACAGCGGCTGGCCATTGGGAGTAGTTCCCGTGACCAGATCCTCATCGCCAAATACGCAGCTTTCAAGCCGCAAGTTCGAAATTCCACGAAACCTTGAAACACACGCCTCCATGAGAGAAACGCTGAGGTCCGGGCGTATGGACCAGTGCATTTGACCTGGTCCGATGTCCTCAGATCTATGTCGGCGGTGATCAGACGCTGCATGAAATCCGAGCAGAACAGAAGATTTTGTACTGGCAGGCTAACACAGCAGTGTAGTGTATGGTCTAGGGCATTAGCGGAGTAACACATACCATGAATCACTACTAAGCACTATTACCTAGCGTTACCTTCTGATACATTACAGCATGTTCTGGCGCGTTTTTCTGTGGATGATAGATGTTCTTCGCTCTGGTCTGCTAATGTAGTTTGACGCATCATTGATGCTTCACGAGTTCAGCACATGCACAGGCTGCCGACATTCCGTGACCCTGGGTTCGTCATGAAGGGCAACGCAGGCTTTAGCTGGTGAGCACGATGCCAGGACTATGCCAAGCGTTGAGCAGCTGGACAATGAGGATCTACATGCAACTGCAAATTTGACCGGCTTGCCCAACCATACTCTTGCGATGCAGGTTATAGCCACCCCAGCTCCTCTAATCTTGCCGGGGTACCCGTGTGGTACTCTCGGCACCAGCACAAACAGCTTTTCCGGCGCACCGCTGGCGCTCTTGACTTGACCCGGGACCAATGGTTTCTGGAACGCCTCTCAGGCAAAGGCTACACCCAAAACTTGATACCAATTATCACAAAGACCCAAGCGCGTACTGTTGGATGACGGAAAGAACGAGAAGCTGCTGATATGCCGCTTGCTGTCATATTTTCCTCTTGGGTATTCACCTGTTTGGATATGGGGCATCGTTTCAGCTTCCGTAGGCTTGCAGCTGGGGTCGTTTGAGCAAGCCCGGCCGGTCGGGAAATCCAGGCCCCTTTTATATCGGCATTCCATTCTGCCGGGCACAGCCAGGTGAAGCTCGAAACTGCTTGTCTTAGCAGCTACCGGGAATGACGTCTGCATGCGCGTTTTCCAAAAAGTTCGCATGCCTTTCGTTCAGCCGCAACTTGTTGTTGCACGCTGTTCGAACTTGCATTGCGGCTTTTTGCATCGCATCCGATTCTTATCCCTACTTGCTGCCTAAAACCTGAGGTCTTGCCTTGGCTTCTCGAACCGGATTCTCCATTGCCAGGACCTGCTGCGAAGTCTGGGGATCAGGAGCTCGGAAGTCTGGGGATCAGGAGCTCGGTTGCAGTTGGGGTCGTGGTTTCAGGGTATGTCAGGGTGGGCCTGAGGGGCTACTCGGGACTCAGGCTTCGGGAATCATTGTTTCTCGCCTTTCACAGTTTCTGGCTTCGGAAATTGCAAGCCTAAGCTCTCGAAGCCGAAAGCAGGGTAGGAGCCCACGAAATGCAAAGCGGAGGGCTCAAGGTATTGCAGGCTTTGTGCCCTGAGCACTAGAACATCCCACGCACCAGATGTTGAACAACTGGACCTAGGAAACTTCTATGACATCTATGATTGCTCAGACTTCTGCCGTGCCGCACGCCTGCATCAGGATTTGACAGAATTCTGGTGACCTTGCTTTCGCCTTGCCTTGCTAGCGAGATCTGTCACGACGGTTTCTGCAACTCAGAACCCACGATGTGCTGTTCGAGCCACCATACATCACCACACACCTAAACCAAACCGTGCAGGGAGTTCGAACAATTCAGCAGGCGACCCCCAAACCCTCGAACACGTCAGATCCACACTCCAAGAGCCACCTAATCTCTGAAAGCTCCACACCTCGACCTCAGGTTGCTCTTTGAGATCATCCACCTCCATACCTGGGCTTTCGCCGGTTCCCAGGGAACAACACGAATACGCATGCAGTCGGGGCTTGATCTGTGTTTCCGTTTAAAACCACCAGGTCTGTTATCAGCTTGCAGCATTCCACAACGCCACAGATACTAAGTTGCACAAGAAAGGTCCAGACATTTCCCTTTTGCATGCTGAGCTCGAAACAACCTTGTACTAATAGTCACATGACCAGCCTCATGAACCCAACCCTGGCCGCCCACTCGCAGATTGTGGACTGTCAAGGCCGAGCTTCATGCGTGGAGCATGGCTGTAAAAACTTTGGCGGGCAAGTCCTGGGACTTTGCTGTAGGGGTAGGGGTTCCTGGGCGCAGGGGACCTTTGGCTCTCGAGGCTTTAGGTCTCCATCATCAGGCCTCACCCTCGTGTGTATATAATTATGTACTAATGGTTTTTCTAAGTTTCATTATCATCATTACTTTTTCCTACTACTACGACGAATACTATATTGTTTACAAATCCGTAATTCAACTGTCATGCTCCTGTCAGGCGGCGTGGGTCAATCAGACGGATAAGCGAACAAGCCTTTTTTTCTAACATCCTGCTTCTGAAATCTTGCCTTTCTGGGATCAACAGAAGAAGCCATAAATCTCGAAGTATGTCGGAGAGATCGGCAAAGGGGGTTCTGGTCGAAGAGTGGGGCTGCGGCCTGATCCGTTCACTTTGCTGATCCGTTGTGGAAAACTCGGCAGGGCTTTCGAGCTTCAGAGATACAGACCCAGAGAACCCAATACCCCTTAATTAAGGAATATACCTTAAATTATAGGGGCCTTAATATTAAGATTTAAGGTATATTGCTTAATTAAGGGGTTTTGGGTTCTCTGGGGAGTCCTAGTATGACAGAAGGTCACAGCCCCTGGCTACAGGAGCCTCCAACCCTAAACCCTACGAGTATACACCCTAAACCCTGGATCCTATAAACCCTAAACCCTATCAGCCCTAGATCCTAAACCCGATAAGCCCTAAACCCTTAACCCTAAATCCGATAAACACCCTACGCCTAGTAAACCCTATAGACCCTAAACCCTACATAAACCCCTAAGCCCTAAACCCTGAACCCTATAGACTATACCCTAAACCCTAAACCCTAAACCCTAAACCCTGAACCCTATTGACTATAGACCCTAAACCCTAAAGCTAGGCCTCCTGAAGTTTTACCACTGGGAACCCTGTGGCCCTGAAGAGGCTTTTCAAAACCTTAGCTCAAGTCTGCAACTGTGCGGTTTTGGGGTTTTGGGGCTTAGGGCCTGATTATTTGTATTACATATTCAGAACTCCAGGGACTAGTCGGAATAGTAATAGCAACAAATCACAGATCGCTTTTCTTTAGGAGCTGAGCCTTCTTGCCGAGCATGCTGAAGCCCAGCTCACAGATCTCCAGCGTCCGCACTTTGGCCTTTCCGGGCGTAAGGTTTAGGGTCTAGGCCTGGTCATGTCAGAAGTTCCTTTGGGCTTGGTGGTACTCTCCTGTGGGTTTGGTATTCTCCTTTAGGGTTTGTGGGCTTTGAAAGGTACTTGGAGCCTCTGGGGTCGCAGTTTTGTGATCGCTCCTTGGGGACTCCGCCGTAGGGTGTAAGTTCCAGATCTTGACTTTACGACGCGGTTGCCCCTCAAGGAGCTGGAGTCTGGCATTGCACCAATTCGCCCTTGAGGCTTTTGTGTATTCCTTGAGTCCTGAGCATGTGCTGCCTCTTTCGGACCTCTGGTGCAGCATGACTTTCCACAAAGTTCCCAACAAAACCTCCTAACCATCGACTCTACATCCTGCCATCAGCATCAGAAATGCTGCAGAAGCAGTGGGGTCCTTTCCAGGCTCACCGGTGCGTCCCACGAAGTAGTCGAAGCGGATTCCTGTGACGAGCCGGGCATCCCGTAAACCAGAAAGACCCTAAACCCGATGCCTGCACGCATGTCCCTACATACGTACGTATGCATGCATGGATCTATGTAGGTATGAATGCAGGTAGGTATGTATGTATGTATGTATGTATGTGCCTGTATCTGCCATCTGCAAGCATGTGTACATACGACAACGCAAGTCAACACAAGTTCCATCCACAGCAAGCCAAAACACATAGCACACGACAAGTATACTACACTGTAGGCAATTCGATGTCCAACCCTGACGCCTAAGTTTATACTACAGCATAAAGTGTACTTTCATACGTAAAATCATATGGTATGGTGCAACATAATATAATGTACTATGAGGCAATAGTGTGTTATACTGTACCGTACCATACCATAATACAATATATTCCGACAAAGTCTATTACAATATATTACCAAATCTGGACATATGTATTTCAAGATAGTACAATAAATACAATATCCCATAGTCCAGATGGTTATCTCATATGGTGTAATATAGGGGAATTAAAAATTAGAATAGGGTTTTGAGGCCCATTATACTATACCTATAATAAGGAACCCCCCAAAAATAGTATAGGTAACTATTTAAGGCTCCTCTATGAATCTCGAATAGTCTGATGGCCGATGGTCGCAAAGCAAGGCCTGGAGGAGTCTGGGATGTTTGCATGGAGACCCAGTCCATCCAATGAGCCGTGATCTCCCTGAGGCGGCGGTGGCTGAAAGTACCAAGGAACTCCAAACAGATCAGAAAAGGCGCTAAGAACTAAAGTCAGATTTTCAGGATATGTTGCTATATACTTCTGATCGCAACTAGAAGAGATCTCTATGTGACTCGGACTGCGGCAATCATAGCATGGTGATTCAAGGGTAGTCCTGGCTGAAACAGAATTTTGGAGCACCGACTTTGCTACCTCCGGTTGTTTTGCGAGAGGGCAAATACAGTACCATCTAGCTTTTTCTAAAAACATCCGGCGAGCAACGCAAAAGGAGGTCTTTGGACCGCCAGGGGTTGACAAAACCACATCACCCCCCTAAAGTCCAAGCTCGAAGCCGTTGAAGTGTCGAGGCCCGGATGCCGAAGAGCATGCTGTTAAGGAAACCACCTGACCCTTCGCCTTCTGTGCGTCGAATGCTTTGTCAAATGAAGCCTTAGCCCTGGCAGTCTCTCAACTTGGGGGTTTCCGAAAATAGGGGACCCTCCTAATATAGTACCCTAAATAATAGGATCCTTATTATCAGGACCCCAAAATAAGGTACCCCTTATTTTCGGAAACTCCCACTTCTCTTCCTGGGCCTGCACTGCCGCTCGCCGTCCTTCAGGGTGGCCACATCTCCGCCCATCCACTCAGCAGCCTCCTCAAGGGTAAAGTGCTCCTCCAAGGGCCGTAGTCATCTACACGTGGATAGGGCATGTGCCGCTGCGAAGATGACGCAACACCAGCTTCCTTTCTTCTCATTGTGCTGCTTACGTTCAGGTTTTCACCCAGTTCAAACTACGCAGTTCTACCGAGCACCAACCACTACCTGTCATGGAATATGAATATGCTGCAGTATATTCAGATCCGTCGTGCCGGATCTCTTCCGGCCAAGATTAAAGTCAGGTAGGCGAAATTAACTTCGGAACGAATATGTGTGCTACGTACGAGCATATAAGTAGACCTATGCACGTGCGAATACGTGTATACACACGCAATTCCTCGTAGATATAGATACAGATACAGATGTAGATCCAAATACAGGCATAGATACAGATACAGATATAAATATAGAGATGTATATAGATACGCCCATGTTTACCTACAAATGTTTACACTGCACATAACCGTCTCTACACTTAGATTTTGGAGGCACCTGCATACATGCGGATGAAGACTCGCACGCTGCACTCGTGTACTGAGACTTACAGCACATGCACAAGTGATATAAGATGCAAGAGCAAGGATGCATATGTACATACAGCAAGCAAGGAACAACTTCACATGCACAGGTGTGTGCATCGTCGCTCTTGTTTATACAGCGTCCAGATAAGCGCCTATCTCAGATTCCGAGAGGATGTCGCTGCATCTGTCTCTTTCTGAGTCTTTTCGATCTGCATCAATGATCTTTGAAACAATGCATGTATTCATACGTATGTGTGCACGTGTGACCGGTATGTAATGTATGCGAAGATGTCTCTTCATTGCCTCTGTTTTGTATTGCCATGCCGCTGGTTCGACGAACCTTGGATTTGTCCACCAAGTCCTTCATTCTTTGCCTGGAAGTTCGTGTTTGTGAAATGCGGAGCATCGCATAGAGTCATAGAGGTCATAGCAGCCTTATAACCCCACCACGCTGAGATCAGCAAAGGACGTCAGCAATGTCCTACTTCTCTGAGAGCCTCTGCTCACAGTACGGTCCTTGAAGTCGCCGAACTCGTTGTTGGGCTTTATTTTGCAGAATTTCGTGTAGATGGTCGCCTCGACCTGCGTCTGTGTGGGACGGCATGTGTGCTACCCTGAGCCGATGAAGTACTTTTAAGATGTCACTGGCGCGATCACATGAGAAGATACACACTGCGCCTCGAATAACCCTGCCGCTTCATGAAATATAACATGCTTCCCAAAGCAGTTGAAAGCGTGAGCAATACAGATGCCGCAATTGTCAACCCTCGGCCCATATCATGCAAGTTTCTCCCAAGTTGAAGCCCGTCAGGGAATTATTGTCGTCATCGATCGTGAGGTGGTGATGTTCATTGCACACATGATAATAATAATAATATAATAATAATAACAATAATAATGACAATAATAATAATAGTAATAATAATAATAATAACAATAACAATAATAATAATAGGTTAGTCACGAGAATGAGTCTCTGCTGTTCCCGGCTTTGCCTCCCCGTTCACCACGTAGAGGCGGAGCTCCATGTCATGTTCCACAAACTCTTGGATGATCAGCGCCTTCGAATGGCATATGCTGAGCACTTCCGCACAGACTAAGCAGGATGCAACCCCGATGTACAAGATGTACGAGACAAGTGAAGAATGTAAACAACTGGTGTATATGCCATGGAATATTTTGCTTCGGCTGTACCACAAAAGGGCATAAACGGGTAGACAACAACGAACTAAACGCCAACACGCACATATTTACACTAAGGGCCAGCAGACACGCCCCACAAGAAACAACAAGTAGTGACGAACTTGGTTGAACCATGGTCACTTGCACGTAAGTGCATGCACGCACGCAAACATGTATCTATATCTGTGCCTATATATGTATATAACAGTGAGCAAGGAACATGAACAACGAAATACCTAGACGTACCATCCTATAAGATAATAGACAATAACACACTAGAATGTGCCATAACACTGTTCACATCCCATGGAGGCACCAGAAACTTCCAACACGATCGAGCCAGTCCCGAATCCCGGTGTCCGGAGGCAGAAAATCTGAGCGAGAATCTACGGTTGACGGGTTTGGCGCTTGGTTTTAGGGTTTATAATAGGTTTTTTTCGGGTCTAGAGTTTAGGGTTGTATGAAGTATGAAAAACGGCAGCCCTAGTCACCTCTCGAGGAGTTTGACTCACCAGGTGCCTCGAGATTGTGGGGCTGCCCTGTGTACTCGTCGCTGATCTCGATGGCCTGCGCACGTCAAATAACAATACCCTTACAGGGAACCCTATTACAGGATGCTAAAGTACCCTTAAGCCCTTAACCCTAAACCCTCTAAGGAACCGGGCTTGAACACTATCTTTCACAAGACATCTAAGGAAACTCAAGGCCGAGGATCGCCCATCGGAGGCCATATTTCCTTGGCCTTCAGAGCCCCGTTGTGAAGAGCTGCAGCGCCGTCTTTCCCCAAAGAAGCCCTCACTTCGACACTTCTGGGGACCTGTTTCCCTTCAAATTTCGGGCGACATAAAAATCTAGGGGAAGAGTGCGACCATCAGAAGCAGGGCACGCTCTCGGAAGTGGGGGGTGGGGATACTACAAGAGTTGCACTCCATCTGCAGCCCGCCTGCGTCAGCTGTGAGATCGCCGTCTGCAAACCTGCCTGGCCTGGGCGCAACGGGCGGAGTTTGAAGCTTCGTCTCGCGGGATTAGGGCTGGACGCGCCTTCCCAGTACTTCACATCCAGGGCTTCCCAAGAGAAGCCGAGCTTGGCCACGCCTTTGCAAAGCGGGCCTGGTGCGTCAGAGACAAGGCTTCTAGCGCTAACTTGGCAGTTTTGGCGATTCACCCCTTGTCCTCGCGAATTCTGGCTTTGAGCTCGGGCATGGTAGCCACAACCATGTCTCTGGGGTGGTCTTGCTGCGGGGTTCAGTGCAGAGTTCCTCCAACTCCCCGTCTGAGGAACCCCGTGACGGATGATCGAAGCCAAGACGCGATCGACCATGCATAGAATAGACTATACTAGAATATAATTACTATGCAATAAACTGTACCACACTATACTGTACTATACCATACGATACGATACTATACCAAACGATAATATAGTAATTATGATATGTTATAACCAACTTTACTAGACTTTACTATACTATATCTCATCCGCCAGGGCACTGCTTCGTTCTGACCCTGAGACAAGTTCAAACCCCTGCATCTAAACGGACCAAACCTCTCCAAAGCCCAACTCACCACCTCTATGAATAAGTCTAAATAAACCTTATTATCTAAAAAAATTATGGCATAGTATAGTACCATAACATTAAGAGAAGGTAATATAAGATACTATATTGTAAAATATCGCAATCTCACCCAGCCCGCCGGCCTCCTTCCGTCGGTGCCTCACCCCGAAGCGACCGCTGCTTCTGTCGCACCTTCTCCTGGGATTGGGCATCGGGTTCCGAGTGCAAGACATCGTGGTGATTAGTATCGATGTCATCTTGACCATGAAGTCTATTACCATGGTACTGTTCAAATGTCTAGCATCATGATTCTGACAGTAGCTGTGCGGATAGACTTTGGCCTGCGACTGGCGCCGCGGCTGTTCTACTGGAGCCTCTGCTTCTTTAACGGTTGCTGCCACTGCCGCTGCTCCTGTAGCTGCTGCTCCCCGTATGCGGCTCTTCGCAGTCTTTGTTGCTACCACGCACTTTCCAATATTCCTGCTTTCATTGGCACTGATTTCGTCATGTTGTTTCTTACTGTCACCATAAGTAGCTCGAGAAACCCTATTGCAGACTGGGCAGCATGGATATGTTCTGTGTCAAGCCCGTCATATCGAACAGCACGGATATATTCTGTGTCCAACCAGTCATATCGAACAATGTCACCACAAATCTGAATCCGGAACCCCTAAACCCTAAAGCCCCAAAAACCCTATAACACTACGCTTCTTCAGATCCAAGGCTCCAGGGCTTGGTAGGCCCAGTTCGCCGCCTCATTTCAAGGCTCAACATGGAAATCTCTGCAAGGGATTTTTCGCTGTACAATATATGTTGTAATGTACAACGTATACATTATATATATATATATATATATATATATATAAGCGTTATACTCTATAATATATAATGTATGTTACATGAAAGCCCGGCTGCCTAGATCTATGTCGGCTGACATGAACCAGCATGACACTTCATCAATTTTGGCTGTGGAATTGTTGCTTGTACAGCCTTGAGTACCCGGAACGGTTCTTTACCGTGCGGACCAGGGCACAGCACGATCCTTTCAAGAGGGGTTGCTCTTGCTTCAAGACTTGCTACGACGAGCGATTCTTTGAGAGTACCGGAACCAGCCCCAGCTCTTATGCAGGATGACTTCTTGCACATTAGCGCAATGCAGAGACTCATTCCGCGAAGTCCGAAACCCAAGCCACAGGACTCAGAACCCTGCATTGAATTCAAAGCCGGTCGGGAGAGGATCGAGGCGCCAAAAACCTCCTGAAAGCCCGGCCTTTGCACAACTGCCCCCATTCTGCTCAATGAGCATGCGGGGCAGCGCCACAGTGGCCGGAAGGTTTAGGTGTGGCACCTCGGCAATCCGAATCTCTGATCTCATGGCCTTAACTTTTTCGGGACGAGGTTCCAGCATTTTGCCGTGTGTGGCTCGGTCTTAATCCCCACCGTTACAACCATGGGTTTTTGTGAATGGCCGCGGGATGGTGGCCATTTCTGGGACCGGGAAAGATCTTAGTTAAGTGTGGGTCCTTGCTTCACGGACCTTGGCCGGCTACGGGTCCTGTAGATTCAGACGCCCGAGCTTTGACTTTCGTGCTTAAGGACCGGGCAGGGTGGTGGCGTGGTCGGCCTGTGCTTTTCTTTATCCCAGCCCTCTCCAGTACGACTTCTGAGCTGTAGCGATTCCGAAGCCGGTCGAACAAGCTGAAGGCTCATCAGATTTACAGCCCGGACCGGAACGTGCCGAGTTCACAGCACCTAGGGCTGCGTTCTCACTACGGGCGTTCACCCAAATATTTTGCGGCACTGAGATTTCTGACTTGACGGCTCTTGTACAGTATGAAACCAAGTAGTAGTTGTTTGCAATTACGGCTGATCTTTCTAGGCTGTGCCTCGTCCTTGTTCAAGGACAAAACTGAGAATTGAAAAGGAGTCATGTTCCAAGAAATCTCACTGCCAAGATCCCACGAAGACTCCGCAGAGCCCAACCCACAGCGAACCCTGTATCACGCTAATGCCACGCAGCACCAGTGCCATGTAGTAGGTCCACCTGTCAGGATGCTGTCACACAACAAAAAGGGGCTCAAACTGCTAGCCAGGTCCGGGTGCTTGTTCCCTGTGGCGCCCACCGATGGCCTGAATCCCCAGACTTAGAATTCCGAAGGAGAGGCTGATGAACCACCTCGGCCAAAGGCCCCTAGTCGCTCAAGTCCTATCCCATAGGCTCTACACCAGCCTCAGTCACGAAATAACCAGCTCTGACTGCAGCACACGCATAGATAAAGAAGACCTCTCATGAGGTGCCATGCACTGTTGCATGGACATACATACAAGCTAAGTAAGCATCTAAGACATGTGTGCATGCATGCTTAAAGGCATACGTGCGCACATACATATGTACCTGCATACATAATCATATGCTAGGGGGTTTTGTGCTTAAGGTACATGTTCACATCCCAACGCGCACATGCATGCGCTGACACATAGCCATACATGTGCCTGCATACGTAAACAGGTAAGGGCTATGCGTGTATGAATGAACCAATGTATGCATGTATGTTGTACCAATTTATGCTTGGATGTAACGGCAGGCCTCTTTGAGGTCAGGATCTCGTAGAAGCCCGAGTCGTGAGGGAAGCGGCTGGGGATGCCTATCGAAGGACACGATGATCCTGAAAGCTTTCGGTGCAGCCTACAAGATGACTGTTTGTAAGAGTCTACTGGATGCAGCACAGCAAGATTTCGACTCATACTAGTCGTCTGACTATGGAGACATTTAACCTTGTTGCTGATTACTACGGTTTCACGTTTGTAGCTTTGCAAGCTGGTTGTCAGATCACATCAAGTTCTTGAAACTGATTTTCGCCTCAGGCTCTCCAGGCCAAGGGTGCTGCAGGTCAAGGCTACGGCATTGGCAACATGGGAACTCCGGCAGAAAGAAAGCCTTCAAACGAGGACTATGAGGATGATTCATTAAGACGATTTACTGATGCTACTCCTAGCAGCTCGCTCGATACTCTGGGTTGGCCGGGGTTACCGCCGGTGTGCCTGCACGCTCCACCGCCTGCATCATCTGGTAAAATGCCTGGCAGAGATCACACAGCATGGGGACATGGGTTGCCGTGCTCAGGGCTTAAAGGGGTTAGGTGTCCAGGGAAAGCCTCAATGGTCAGGCTACCTGCTTGAGGAAGCAGGGCTTGAACCACTGAAGGGGCCGGAAGAAGTACCAACCTTATTACTATGGTTCCATATTCTATTTATAACATAATGTACCCCAAAACTCTATTCTAATTACTAAGGCCCTTATATTACATGCAGCCCAAGACCCATTACCTTTGCCAAAGCTTCTAGAAATCCCTTAGAGCCACGCCTGCTGGTCTACCAACGCAGCTCCACCATCACCCCCTGTCTCGCTGTTTGGCACGCAGTGCTCTTCGAAGCCCGTGGGGTAGAGGTGGTACATCGCGCAAACCTCAAAAATTAGTTTTCGGATTCCGTCTGAAGATGACGTCAGGCTTCTGCTGCTGCTTCATTCAGTCCCACGAGTACCAGTCGAACTGGGAAGGTGCCTGCTGGTGCTCTAGGGTTCAACTGTGCCATGAACTTCAAGTCTCTGCACAGCTTCCCTGACCGTGGTTGTGTCTGTGAGGGTTAACCTTCTCAATGACATCACAATTCTTTGGCTCTGGCTAAGGCTACGGGAGCAATGCTGCACAGGACTTGCCCAACAATCCAAGTGACCTTTTTGGCTCGGCGCATGGGATGATGGCTGCCAAAAATTAAGTGGGCAGCATCGGCGATTTTCATCATGTCAGACTTGTCCTCTATGTAGACTGTCCAAACCTCCGCGGCAACTGGCTCACTTCTCCTAAGACCCAGACCCTGGAGCACACTCATCTTCGAAAGCAAGTCACAAGTAAATGCTACATGCACGAGTTCCGTTGTCCTTCTTGCTGTCGTGTCTGAACCTTAATGCCTTAATGCTGTGCCACTCCAGCAATCTTTCTCCCTAGACAACTACGCAGTCTGATGCCTGAGCTGCCGCTCCAATTCGAGCTCGTTCTCGAAGCGAATGACACAGGCATGCATCTACTTGCGTCTGGTAGTGTTCAAGGTTACCTGGAATAAATCTTACTTGACATTCAAAGCGGTTCCTAGGTGTATCTAGATGCCTCGTCGCGAGAACTCACGCCCCTGGTGCAGTTAGGCGAGTTGCGCACAAAAACGAGCCAAACCCCTCTCCCTGAACGCAGACAGGTACATGGAAACTCCAGGTCGTGCCTCGTAGCCTGTCTTCAAGTACTGCTGAAAATGGTCGCAGTACGCGTCGATGAAAATGTCAGAGACAGAGCTGCCTTTCCCGTGAAACGGAGTTGTGTCGTGTATTGGGAGACCATGAACTTCAAGCTCAGTTTGATGTGGATGCTACTGGCAGAGCAGCATTGTAAGATCAACTTAAAAGGACGGTGTAAGCTTGAAGCCGCAGAACAGTTGTGAGTGGAAGGTGTTCTGGCCTGTCTCTCCCCACTGCGCGGGAGCGATGATCTCGTTGAGACCGCCCCAGCGAAAGGTGAGGATTGCCTTTGACTATGCAGAGCTGTGTGAAACCATAATAGGATGCTACATTGTGCTGGACGGTTGTATACTATGTCGTAATGCGGTGTATTTACCATTCTTGCATTGTATTATACTTTATTGTTTCGTACTGTATTGCATTGTACTGTAATCAGCATACTCTGTGATAGGTCTCGAGCGGAAACCTTCATTCCGGTCCAGGCTTTCTAGGCGTTAGCTATGATCAGCTTGAGGAGCAGTAGGCCCGAAACCCTAAACCCCTGAAGTAGTAGGACCCTTGCATCGTCTTGGCGTATTCCTTTCCCGAAGACCTTGGGAGAGCAGTTGTCATCCCCCTGAAATGAGTGAAGACAGCTTTAAGGCCGAGCTTAGCTCCGAAACAAACCCGGTGGCAGCAGCACTACTACATGCTGCGGGGTTCGACGGCTGTAAGGGCATGAGAGTTCTTGAATTCTTTGAATGGCGGGGGACGAGGTCTGGCTCCGAAGCCGCATCGACTAGGCTCGGCTTGCTGCCGCGGCCTGCGCTCGCCCACAGGGTTGGGAGAGTCTTGCCGTCGATTCGGGGGTTCAAGGCAGAGCGATTTCGTGGGGTTTAGATGCCTGGGTACATTCAACCACCAACCCGTTTTGAGCTGCCGGACACACTTCCACGGAAACTCTGAAAAGCTGAGGCTTGGAATCTGAGCTTCAGGTTGGCACCCAGGCCTGTCGGTCTCTTGACATACTGTGGTGCGAACCACTCTGTCCATCCAGTGCCACTGTCCGCGATGTGGCCCCTCTGCGTGTAGAAGTGGGGCCAGGAATACTCCACCTGTGCTTGCAGCAACAGACTCCCTTGACAGTAGCATCTACTTTGTTTCAATGACTCCGCGGTGGCTGCATCATGGACTGCGTGCTCTAAATTGTTCCCCTGGCAGTTAGGAGACTCCACCTCCACGTCACCGCCGTGGACGTTCGGTTGCTGGTCGGCCATGACCCGTGCTGGAACCCAGCCGTCCGAAATTCCAGTTCGAGGCCGGAAGGCTCCGTGCTTGGGGTCGAGCACTGCCTAGGCATCTCTTGCAATGCATTCCGGGCGGTGGACGCTCTCTGAGTCAACACCCTTCCGATTGCGGCAGGGCAGTGGGAACTAAGGAACCATCGAGGCACAAGTTTAAACGCCGTATCCTTGCAACTTCCGGGGGTCTGGCCAAGTACTTCCGGTCCGGTCGGCAGCGCTTGCACATCCGGTAGAAGACCAGAACATCATCGCCCCGTTTGAAGGAATCCTCATGGCTCTCGGACGGGGGTGTTTCTTTGCTCCGCGTCGTGGCAGGTCGAGAAACCAAGAGAGGCCTCATGCTGAGTCTGGGATTTACTGATGAGCTATAGTGTCGTCGTCGGATGAAGTTATGAGCTTTAATTACTTGAATCTTCGCTCGCAATGCAACGGTACCTCGAAACACATCAGCCTGGAATAGAAGCAGGAACAGCTGGAACGAGAAGAAGTGCAAACAACCGTCCACCCCAAGCACATCTACAGTGGCAGCAGATCCCATACCGCAAGAGGCATGTTGAGAGCAATCGGGTACCACCCGGTGCTGCAAACACTCTCACTAAAGCAGTATGGAAGTTCGCATGTTCTCAACAGATGCTCTATAAGTTAGAGGCTTTCCGTTCTCCGACCTATAGCCTCGAGTGGTTGGCAATTGGCAATGCTCAGGCTAGCTGCTCTGCTGGAACACAGCATGCAGCCTGCACAACTGAGGTGGTTGGGACTTCGCAGCATGACCCAGAAAGTCAATAGGAACAGCAAGACACTCACAGAGACATATTTCAGCAAGCATGTTTCGCCCTCCGACTTGCGATGATTGCATCAAAGAAGCCTCCATCGCCATGCTAATGTTGAGACTGCTGCCCCTCGCAGCACATGTGCTCTGCGCCGGCGGGTTAAAACCAGGGGCCTTAATTCTCCCAATGTAGTATTGTGGTGGTTCTAGTTAGTTGCCTGTGCATCGTCAAGATAGTGACCTCTTGAACGTTAGCCCTCAACACAACACCTGGGCTGATTGAAATCACCGCAGTGCTCGAGTCTGGTTGACCTCTCTTCAGCACTAGACCCGAGGTCCGAAAGCTGGGTCCTAGCTGCCTAACGCCCCCAGCCCCTGAGACAAAATTGGAGCTGCTGGAACAGGACGGAAACGAAGCATCCTCAGACTTGCGTGGTCCAAGGGGGCATGGGAAGTCTGTCAGGGTTTAGTAGGGTTCAGCAACGAATCACGGCAGGCCTCCGAAGTCATGAAGACATAGTCTGGGATGTAGTTTTAAGGGTTTAAAGCACCAAGGTCGCACGATGCTTGCTACAGCTGCCTCGGCATTGTCCCTTGAAACTTACACCAGCAACGCCTTGGCAAGAAATCCTGCAACGGCCACTGTTTTCGTGCGTACGAGGCTGAAGCACTACTTTGGTCTGGCTCGCACGATCAATAACGTGTCACCCTAAGGTCGGGCAAGGCTGATTAACCTTTTCCTTGGCCTTTCCTCAGCAGCTAATCGCATCTCTGTCGAAGCCTCCGCAGACACATGCAAGAATAACGACCACAAAAGCGTCTGTGAGTCGCGGAGTTGGAGCTGACCGACTCTTGCCAATGGTTAGGGTAGCACTCATGTACAACGCTATGGTAGCAGCAATTCAAACGTCAGCAACGAAAAGGACATCATGATGCAGTCAGAGTTCGTGTGGCAGTAGCGACAGTACTTGTAGTGGAGGCTGGGTAGTGGTGGTGCTGCCAGCAGGTAGCAGCAGCAGTAGCAGTAGTAGCAGTAGTAGCAGTAGTAGCAGCAAGAGTAGTAGTAGTAGTAGTAGTAGTAGTAGTAGTAGCAGCAGCAGTGCTATTAGTGCTAGTAGTAGTAGTAGTAGTAGTAGTAGTAGTAGTAGTAGTAGTGGTAGTGGTAGTGGTAGTAGTAGTAGTAGTAGTAGTAGGAGTAGGAGTAGTAGTAGTACTAGTAGTAGTAGTAGTAGTAGTAGTAGTAGTAGTAGTAATAGTAGTAGTAATGGTAGTAGTGGTGGCAGTGGTAGTAGTACTAGTAGCAGCGGCAGGAAACTACCGGTGGTGGTGGTGGTGGTGGTGGTAGTAGCGCAGCGCTAGCCACACCTTCGGTGACAACGGTGTGACTGACAACGGTACATGTGGACAATGAATTAAGGGTTGACGAATAGCAACCGTCACATGGCAACAAGACAGCAAACAATGCAGATGATGCCAGGGCAGGCATTGGCTGAGCTTGGAACAGAGGTTGCTGATCCAATGCGTGTAGTCTCCAACTGGCAGCCTTAGGAGGTCGAAGCTAAACTGGGATTTGGAGCTCCGCCAAGTCGACCGTGACGGCAAACGAAAGAACCTACAGTACTTGTAAATCCGTCCCATACCACCCCCTGCCGCTCCCCTCCACCCAGCGCCCAAAAGGCCGCCTCTCAAGTATGAAGGCCTCCTTCATGAAAGCATAGGCACTGCCCTGAAACCACCGGGTTGGTTGATCAGGGTGTTCACAAGGCCGAAGTTCCGGGCCGCAGTGCCTCGTTTGTCTAGGCTCCAAGCTCCAGCTCGCTTCCCACGTGCAGCAGCAGCGTCTGAAAGAAGTGGATGTTCTTTGGGAAAATGTTGGCCTTAGTCCCAAAAGGCCAAGCCCTGAGGTACCAGAAAACTTAGCTTGCAGGTTCAGCCACCTCAACAACAGGTTACATTCCGGCAACATCGTCAGTTCGAAAACAAGAAGGCTGGAGCAGTGCAGACGGCCTGTCTGTGCATAACATGATCTGAAACAAATGCGTGGGATGGCCCATCAAAGTCTTGGCAGATGGTGGCTCAATGACCCACCGATTTCAGACCGAGGGCTGCAAACAGCAATAGGGCAGGCGAAAGTCTGCAGATCTTCCCCGCTGCAGATACATGTCGACCGAATCGAGTTCGGAGTGGACCGAACTCTGACCTTCTCCTGAGGGTGCTGCTGTGTGGTGGGTGGCTGAAGGCTGTCTGCAGTTGCTTACCATCACAGCACTTGGCATCAAGCCTCCACATGGGTAGGGACATCCAGGTCAATTCCAAGAGCTGCTGGGTCCAAGGCATTTTGCATACGCAGGATGCCCGTGCACTTCAGCTGGCTGTCCTGCATGGGTGAATACGACATGACACGTGCATGACCAGCAATACAATGAGGCTCCCTTGAGCGCGATGGTGCTACTGCAACTGCAGACACCGTGAAACATCGCTAGCTGCTGCCCTGCATGAATCGCACAATGTTTGCAAGGACACAGGCTTCTTCAAGTCAGGACACTGTAACCGTCAAGAGTCCACTGCAAGAGCCTGCTTTGGAAAAGGAGCAAATCACCACGAAGAGCTGAAGTAGTAAAACATGTTTTGCATGTGTGTCCTCTATGTACAGGTGCAACTCACGACCTCGCAAGAAGAGCAATGTAGTCAATCTGCTGTAGCATGGACAGGAAGATGCTGGCAAAGCAACACTGCAAGCCGTAACTGAGCCCTTGGCAACACTTTGTTTGTCCCTTGTTCGTCCAATCTACGGTTTTGCTCCCTGCGGGCAAGGCTTGGACTTTTTGTGAAGGAAAAACCCTACAGACAGGCATGCCGCAGCCTTCTGAGGAGAACGGTATCGGGATAATCGCCCTCTTCGACCTCGCGCGATTGCGCACGAGCTTCGGTGCTGGAAGGCCATGTGTTAAAAATGGTGCAATTTGCAAGTCTCGCTACAGCAAATCCTGGGCTGGCTTGGCCTACGATGTGCCCTTTGGCAACGATTCGAAGAGGACGCACCGAGTCTCCGCTTACGGACGTCCTGCTAAATTCAGTTTATTTGACATGCGCGGCTCCAAAGGTCCTGTTCGAGTCTGCTGTCATAATCTTTCGCGGTATTCACTCTACCCCATAACGGAAAAAGCGAACATACACAGATTTCAGCTGTTAGTTTCTCTTATGTGTGGCACTCAGAATCCAACTGAAGTCAAACTCCGCTAAGGAAGTCAACCAACAACAAAACATACCAGTGCTCTAGCAAACTCGTACTGTCTGTTGTTAGCCCTATGACAAACGTGTGACGTCGAGGAAGGTAAGCCGCACCCGTCGGTAATTGGCCAAGAACCTACGCCCAGACTCCTCAACCCTGATGCCTTCATTCTGAAAAGCTCTTTCCAATTGTCCCCGCCCGTGCCCGAAAGCTTCAAAGCCGAAAAATGCCAAACAAATGTGAGAATCCGCAGACCTGGCATGCTCTTCTACTCCATTCTGGGCCCCTTTTGTGTTCAAGCCCCAACTGCAGAAGCCCCGAATATCTGTGGTTAGGATTGTTCAGCTTAGTCCTCAAGATCACAACCCTCGTGGCATTTGTGATCTTTTGCGGGGGGGCTTCCGGTACGAAAGGAAAGCCTAAACCCTAAACCCTAAACCCTACACCCTAGACCCTAAACCCAACCCCCCCAATCCAGACCTGGGCTCGCTCTTCAGACAAGCGATGACATTGGCAATCTTCTCCTCTTCACAGGCGGGTGGGTTCTGAGGGCTTATGTGCTTGTAGTGTGTTTTGGGGTTTGAGATTAGGGTCCACCGGTGTCGGGGGTTTGAACTGGAGGTTTGAAGAGTTTGGACGCTGGGCGACAGATTCAGTTGGTGATGAAAGAAAGGGCTTGCTGGATAGCTGCCGACAAGCGTTTGTCAGAAGCAGCCTCTCGCTCTCTGTCTCTCGCTCTCTCAATTTGAGAAGCCTGTTTGCGCGGAAGAGCCGGAACAGCTGGCTTGTTTCTTGTGTCTGCTTTGGTAGAAAGCAAGTATTGCCACGCCTAATGCACTGGGTCGGTAGAAAGGAGGCATGCACAGTTTTGCGCAGACAAAGCGACAACGTATGGAAAGACCAGAAAGGAAAGCCCACGCAACAGCCCTTTCTGAAGGGGTAATGCAGAAGGACTCATGGTTCCGCTCATGTTCAAGATTGTGTTTCAGACCTCGCTTTGAAAAAGGGATTATTGTCATCCCCCAGATGCTTTATCAGGCTATTCAAAGACGCGCTACTCCAACTTTTCGCCACCATAAGTGCTGAAACCTCCCAACCACCGTCTTGCCTGCATGCCGTCTCGGTAGTCGCCTTGCTCACCTGCAGCGCTCCAAAGCATTTCTCATTGGCTTCATCCTTGCTATGAAGGGGGGCTTGGGGCTTAGGGTTGCGCACTTGGCTTTCTTATGGATTTTGCCGAAAGTGTGAGCATCATCTCACGCCTCCTCGCTCCTCCATCTGCCATTTGTCCGACTCCTCTTGGGTGTAAGGCCAACCTGAGAAGCTTCAAGAATTACGGTTTTCAAACCACAGTTCCAGGCAACACACACCGTAAACTGCAACGCTTGAAATACTCATGAGCCCCTGCTTACGGGCCTTCCGACTGGGGCTTCTGCCCATGTTTTTTTTGGTGTAGAAATCGAGCGCGCCGGCAGGAAAGAGGGGTGTCCTTGGAAGTGTTTGCTGCTTGGCTTTGCAGCCCCGATGCAGACGTTTACCTGTCTATGCAAATACCAATTTTGCACTGACTTGTCAGGATGTTTAGGTGCTTGAGCCGGTTCGGATCCAAATCCTCATACTTGTAGCATAGTCTTCTTGCGTGTTGTAGCAGCTCTGTTGCTCCCGTCAACTCGAGAAACCCACTTTCCTGTGTTGAACAAACTTTGAGGCGGTTCAGACGATGCTATAGGATCTATATACGTTGAAGATCTGTGTACGGTGTATGGCGTGCAACACCATTGGGAACCTCGGCTTGTGGATATGAACACTAGTCCTGATGATGAACACGAATCGAAATTGGTTTCGTCATTGTCACTGCGTCTAGCATCGCGGAAATAGTGCAGACGCAGAATGCAGAGAAAAGAAGTCGTCATCTCGTCGTTCTCGTTGAATGGAGGAAAGATTCCTGCGCGGACAGAAAAACCAACTGGAGCCTCGGCACCAGCCCAGATGCCCATCCCGGCAGCTCTGAACCCTGCTTCTTCGAGAAGTGTCATGCGTGAAACTTGAAGCCCGAAGATTCGAGTTATCAGCACTGAACCCTGCAACCGTTTGCTGAGTTTGCCGTATCACCGCGTGACCATAGGGTTGAAATCTCGCACCTCGCACCCCATAATGTACTTAGGCCAGAACACCCAAACCGCAGCATAGAGTTTAGAAATTGTGAGGATCCCAACCCCGAGAATTCCGAAAATCCAGGCAGCAAGCCTAACACTCCTTTCTGAGGACCGCTCTCGAAACGATGAGTCATGTCCTGCAGGCCAAACTTGCCTGCTTTCCGTCTCTTGCCTAAGGCACTGTAGGAATATTTCGGGGAGTTGAAGCAACTCGAACTGGCTCAGGCTTCGCGAACCCGAATGACAGCTTTCGCGGTTTTTCAGCAGGAGGGCACGGGGTCTTCAGAGAAGGTCACGTATGTGACACCGATCTCTGCTCCAGCAGCTACTAAGCACAGAGGTCTGTGGAAACCTGAATCCTGGCACAACTAAATCCTAATCACCGCAGTCACGCACAAACAGATCTCCGATTTTTAAGTTCTACTTGGAGGATCATGTGACCTAGTAAGTAAGGTTATAACTACCTTATTTGGGGTTACAATTACTTATCACTACAGTTACCTTTATCTATAACCCTAGTTACTAAGTCCCATGATCCTCTAAGTAGGCCCAAAGCCTTCGTCCCCACGGCCCGGTCTCCTCAATGACACCTACAAAGTTCCGCACTGTAAAGTCGCCGCCTCGGTTGAAATTGGGGTGGTCCTCCTAAACCCTGGGGCCCATTCTCTTGGTACATGGTATGGTATGCAAATGGTATGCTTCATGTGACCGACGAAGCCGTCACAACCACAAGAAAAGACCACATGCTACTTACTTCGATTTTCCAACCCACAGCAGCTGTAACAGATCTGAGCTCCACTCGCAACAGGTAAAGAGGGCTTGACAGGAAAGTCCTTGAACGTTGAAGTGACAGGTACTGACAGGTGACCTGAACACGAACTTCCGATAGTGTGAAGAGACTGAGGGACCGAGGGGTGTTGGACGTCTCTCTCCCACCGGGGAATTACATTGTTCTAGGGTGTCGGTCTGTACATGCTTAGCAGCGCTTCAAACAAACTCGGGTGTTGGCAGAATACCACGCCCGGTAATGATGCAGCGTCGTGGTGTGGGTAAAGCTTGCCCGTTCCGCCCACGTCCGTGAAGAAGTCCGGATTTGGCGAGTCGCTGATTAAGACAAGCAGCCTTGCTCTGTCAGCCCCCGAAGGTGCCTGGCTTGCGACGACTGCATTTTTGAAAGGTTTGGGTAGGATAACACGAAAAGCCTGTAACGATCGGCCTTAAAGCTCAAAAACTTTGCCAGCCGGTTTCGGGGATCGTTGTCGACGTTGTGCGTTTAAAGTTCCTACTGATCTTACCTTGGTGTCGAGTTTGACACAGACCTGAAGCCATAAGTTTCCAGCTGAAGCTAAGGACACGAGGTTGAGCCGAGGAACTTGTACATGTCCTCGGAGGTCCGGAAGCGTGGATAGCCCCTTAGCAAGATGGAAGAAGAGGCCATCTGTTTCTGTTTGAGCAGTCATAGAACCACTAGTGCAAAATACTCCAGTAATGCCGAAATAGGAAGAAACGGTATGCAGGCCTGGCAACGATGGTCGACTGTCTCATGACAGGCTGACATGCTGACTCGTGCAAGCCCTTGATACCCGCTGTCTGGATTTGTTGACCCAGCCGTTCATGACAGGAGCAAGTGTGAACAAACTCGCGCGTGCAAGCCTCCCTGTATATGTGTATATGTAAATGTAAGTATGTAGGTATGTATGTATGTATATATATTTATATATGTACGTATGAAAAATATACATGTATAGATAGAGAGGAGAGAGAGAGAGAGAGAGAGAGAGAGAGATAGAGAGGAGAGAGAGAGAGAGAGAGAGATAGAGAGGAGAGAGAGAGAGAGAGAGAGACAGAGGGGGTGTGTGTGTGTATATATATATATATAGACATGAGAACAGCAAGATGACTTACACTTTTGCAAAAGGAAAACAAGCTCAGGTCCCATTCCCACAGCCAGAGAAGCGATCCCTCTGCCTGAATCTGGGTAGTTTTCTAAGTTAGGGTCCCCTTTTAGGTCCCCAATATAGTACGGCACTCTTATAAAAAGGACCCCCAAAGGGACCCTAATTTAGAAAACTACCCATCTGCTCGGCCCCTGGCACGTTCAGGTTCCGAGAGGGAGAGCCCTGGAGTGCTCGTCGGAGGACCTGAAGCTCGGAACTCAGGTAGGGTTTAGGGTTTAGGGTTTAGGGTTTAGAAATTTGGCTTTCTTTTGAGTCGCATGAAGGTTTGGAACTTAGGCTTTAAAGCGGTGGCCCGGTTGCCTTCCGCGGTGCTCAGTGTCGGAGTGTGCACTTAAACTTAGGGTGCTCAAGGGTGCGGGGCGTGAGGTTTCATGAAAGCTTTCAGACCACGGTGTGATTCTTCATTAAGCCGCTTTAGCTAGCTTGATCCGGAGATGCTGTGCAAAAGTCTCCGAAGCCAGCAAGGCACTGTAACTCCTGGGCCAAGTCTCCTGCCGAAGCGCGCATGGCGGATTCTAGGAACAGAATGAGTTGCGGCAGGCAGCGAGGGTACTGTACTTCCAATGGCTGCAGCAGGAAAGACGAATGCTCACCCATGTAGCAAACAGGCAAAGCTGCATGAATAAAGCCATTGTGAATTTCGGTGATGTGGCAATCTGCCGAGACGCGTGCGATCGCGGCCAAGACACAATGAACACCATTTCGTGCCCCTGGCTTGTGGAACTTTGGAGTAAACTGTCGTCAACATCAGTGAAGGCCAGCTGGACAGCCGTATGCAGCACGGACTGCCCAAGATGCGAAGCAGGGCAGACATGGAGTGCAGGATAACTATGGGCCAGGGAATATCAGGAAATGCACAGTGTGTTCGGCGGCTTGCGAGCAGTGACAGTCAGGCTGCCCAAAAGATCCAAAAAGCGAATGAACACACAACTGTAGTGCTGAGTGTAAGATCGAAGTCTGAGCTTCAACTTTGATGGCTTACGAAGATATCCGTGCAGGCTATCTAAATTGGCGGACCGCATCCCACATTTGAGTGCTCTGCAGCATTACCGACTGCTCGCTCCAATCTTCACAGTGAGCAGAAGCCGGGGAGTCAACATACACTTTTCTCAGGTATGTCGATCGTAAGATCTCTACAAAGCTATGTTCCGCTCTGTCTTCCAACCGCTTTGGGATTGGGCATGGCTCAGAACTGTCCTGCAGAAGCAGACAGCCTTTATTAGGCCGCTTCAGCAGACACCTCAGAAAGCCGCTCAAGAGGCTCGAGGAGTGCTGGTGTAGCATGCAACACTAGTCGCTTTAAAACAGGAAGGAACGCGGCACAGAGCATTCGTTTTGAAGCCCTGAGAGCTCAGCAGTCTCCTTTCAGGACCACGAAGTTTCGCGCCAGCGAGGGGAAAGCTCAGTACTGTACCATGGGGCTCCCAAAAGAGTTTCTGCCGGCTTCATTGGAAAGCTCCAAACAGTGGATGCTTTCAAACAGACTGGAGCACAAGATACTCTTGGACTCTTGGCTCAAGCCCCTAACAACCAAGTGCAAGGGTAGACAATCATTAGCACACCGTAGCTCAGTCGAAACATGCACTCGTAGGAGTACAGTTCCTCTTTGCCGGGAGATGGTGTCAGCTTTTGAGGTAAACTCAACATGCCGCCGCAGTCATTGCTCACCTTGCCCAAGGTCTTCAAGACGATGTGTGCTGACCAGTCGTTCTCCTCGATGGGTGTCACGATGTGGGGGATGAGCTTCAAAAGGCTTTCGGTGGTTGACAGAGTGGAGAACGCTTTGCCAATCATCTTGTTCTTGTTGGTTACATAGAAAATCTGCACGAAGCCCCGAACTTTGCCCCAAGCGGTGAGAACTTTGCTCATGCCATGATACCACTCTTTCGAGTCGGGCACCTTGTCAAACATATTCACATTCAAGGAGGGTGCAGAAGAGAGCATGCTCCCCACCCACCTGAAGGACTCCATCATCTTGATCTCGTCGTCACTGAATGTGTCGTCCTTCTGCATCTCCCTTCGGACTGAAGTGCAAAAAAGCCTTATTACGCTCCCCATCATGGCTCCAGCGCCGAGTGCCAAGGCCTGTGCTGCCTTCTTCTTCGCTTGATCATGTGAGAGAAGTGCGCCTTCCGATGGCTGCTGATCATAAGGCGCATTGTTCCAGTCCCGAACCGTCTTTGCATTGAGCATGCGCTGCGTGCACGCGTCACTCGTCGAGAAAGGGGCATGGCCCATCAGGTGTTTGTAAAAAATAGTTGCTGGGATGGCTGCAATCAGGCACGCAAGGTCAAGGAGGGAGAGATCTTCTCCAGTCAGGAGCTTATAAAGCCAAGAGATTACAGGGATGTCAATGGTCTGATCCAGCATGCCCATCAACTGGCCGACAAAGGTCTCACAAACAGTGAAGAGCTCCAAGATCATGCCCTCAGTGCCGTCAACAAGAGCGATGGAGATGATGCCAACAATTCGCTCCATGACCGTAGTGAGGTCTAAGTGGCTAAACTCGTCAATCACTCGAGTCTTGAGGCTCCCGGCTGCGCTTTCCAGACTCTCTTCTGCCGACTCGCAGAGCTTGCAAAGGGACTGCAAAGCCGATGGAACTCCCTCCAAGCTGAGTGTCTTCGGCGTGGAGGCACGGGTCGCATTAGCCAAGTGGCCCGGGGCACTTTGCCTGGCGCTGGGATCTGGGGTCTTGAGGGCATCGGCGTTCGTCGTCTTAAGGCCCTGCTTCACGCCCGTAAACTCCGCGATGTTCTTCTTGAAGTCATCGATTGCCTTCTTGGTGGCAGCCCTGGCCGAGGCCATGTCATCGATGAACTCCGAGGCAGTCAGCGAGATGGATTTCTTGATAACACGGTGTGTCACCAGAATGTCCTGCCAACCGAAATAATCACCCATTCAATGGCCATCTTGATCTGTTTATAGACCCAACGAATAGCACCGCCGATCGCTTCGAGGGAGTCCATCAAAGCCGCATAAATCTTGCCCTCAATAATAGCCAGTATGTGCCAAGCACCTGAGACCTCATCCTTAACAAACTTGATCGTCGCCTTGGCTGCGGACACCAAAGTATTGAACAGGTCTCCAATGTCGACCATCCTGGCCGAGCCCAGATCGAGGTCTATCCCCGACACCTTCAGCTTCGCTGCACTGCGGGTGTGCGCCAGCCTGCGAGGCGCCAGTGGCAAGTCCGAGTTCCCCACGTCTTTGCTCGCTTCATCTAAGTTCTTGTTGAGGTTGGCGATCTGCTGTAGGGTGTCATCAAGCGTATCTGGCAGGATCCAGGGCTTCTGATTGCCATGCATATCCGTGACCTTGGCATCTCGCAACTTGTCCTTGCTATTCAGTGCAGAGTTGCGCTTGAAGGCAGCGTCCAGGGGATTCACCTGTATGGGTAAGCCTCCCCTGCCCAACGTGTTGGTCGCAATGGCAACATGAAAGCGCGTTGCCACTAAGCTGTTGGTCAGCTCTGCGATGGTGATGGTCCCATCCTGGTCTGTCTGCACCGTCACCGGCTGAGGGCCCACCTGGGAAGCACGCAGACCTCTTGACCACAAGATGTCACAAACTGTTCATCAGGATTCGCTGCATGAGATGCTGTGGCATCTTGGGCTTGGATTAGGAGCTTGGAACTCTCGGGTCTAGGTTGCGGGGTTCAGGGTGTAGGTTTATGCTGCTTCGAGCTTAAGGTTGGAGAGACAGCAGACTTCTGTCAGACTGGGTGAACATGCGCGGGCTGACGCAGACGTGGGGTGACGTGGGACCGACAACTGGGAGAGGCTGAGGACGAGGGAAACAGGAAAAGAAGGAATAAAGCAGAGTCGCTTTACAAACAATCCGGCGGGCTGCGGAGACAGATTTCGGTATTCTTTCACAGGGGAGCTTCATACTGCCCCACCTGGTAGTAGAGGTGGTTGATGCTCACCGAGGTCACCGTAGTCGAAGTCAGCTCAACTGCTACGCTAGCAGCTGTCATGCCGGTCGTCTGGTTTGTCACCTTGATCTCTGTGGTGAAGCTCTGAATGGATCGCGAGTCCTGCTTGTAGCTCGTTGGCGGCAACGTGATGCTCTTTGATGTCCAGAGCCCCGTGCCAGGCGTCTTGATGTACTTCATCAAGCTGGTGCCCGTGTGAGCAAAGAAGGTGTTAGCCAGGAATTTGCGATCTACATAGGGCGAGATTGCATCGACACTGGTGACGATAGGCAGTGGGACGCTCCAAGCACCAGAGTCCGCAACCTCGTCCGTCTTGCACGTGAGGTAAAAGACCTGGTTGCTGCCATTCAGCCCCCAAACTGTGATGTCACCTTTCTCCTCCGCTGCGAAGAGCTTCTTAACGCCTCTTAAGAGACTGGGTTCTGAGACAGTTCTGAGACGACCAAAGTCGCCACGGCATCGTTGGTTTGGTTGCTGGCAGCGAAGAAGTAAAGGCCTCCCTGCGAGGCGACGTACAAGTCGGAGTCGTTGTCCCCATTGCTGTGCCGTGCTGCGGCAATGGCGTCGGGCACCAGATCCTCAGGGAGCCGCAGTCGGGAGGCGGGCGCCGGAACAAGGGCCCAGAGCCTCCAATATCCCTTAATTAAGGAATATACCTTAAATTAGAATAGGATCCCTAATATGATTTAAGGTATATTCCTTAATTAAGGGGTTTTGGAGGCTCTGGGGGGGTCGAAGCCATAGAGGGGCACGTAGACCAACTGCGCATTGCGGTTCACCTGGCCCATGGTGTAGATCCCGTCCACGAAATCCCCTTTGGCCCGGCCCAGAGTAGACTGGTAGGTCGAGGCCTCGAAGTCAGCGGCCAGTTGATGCTTCATCCACAAAGGCTGCGGCTTGCTCACATCTATCCAGTAGCGCTCCAGAAGAGGCTCAGTTGCTTGCTGGTTCCTTAGGATGTCCACAACAATGTGCTCGCCGTCAGAGGCCTGGGTCAGCATGATGTTCGCAATGGTAAGTGGCTGAGGCACTGGCACCGGCTTGCCAGTGCTGTCCACTGCATTGAAGGGCGCATGCAGCCAAGGGATATCCTTTGTCCAGTTAAGGTTCACATCTGAGTTGTGCAGACTCAGGTACAAGTTGGAGGTGCCCTCGGCTTGGACACACATTGCGACGTGGATCTCCCGCGATGTGCCCTTCCCGGCCACCTGCGAGACTCCAAAAGTGCTCACGGTCCCCCCTTTGGGAAGCTCCGCTTGATGAGCTTCTCTGACAAGTTGCGCACTGTCCAGCCATGCATCGTCTTTCCCGACTCCTCCACGACGACGCTGAAATCTTCTGTGCCAATCATGAAGAGAAGCCCGAGTCCTGCATCTGTCTGCAGCGCCTGGAACTTTTTCTGTGGCTGAAGGATGTCTGACTGGATGTAGTTCGTCATGAGCTCTGCAGAGGCTGCAATGTTGTAGGTGACCTCCTCTACAACATCTACAACATTCGGCGCTGGCTGCGTCACAGGCAACATCATGACACTTGCGTCATCAACCAAAGACCTCATGCTTGGGCTCGCATACCTCAACTGAGTCACCAGGTCACAGCTGTCAGAGAAGAAGGCGTGAGACATGATAAAGGAGTCGGAACCGGGAAAGACCCACTGATGATACTGGTTGAAGTTGTCTGCCAAGCCTTCTGCAAACGCCTGGAATGCAGCGCTGAGCAAGCTATCCACATCGCCCTGAGCTTTTGACAATGCATTTTTCAGATCTCCCTCGAGGCCAGAAAGACCCTCGATGCCTTTCGCATCGAAGTCCCAACCCGCGGAGTTATTGTGGGTGGTAATGTCTTGGATCGCGGTGAGTTTGCCATCATCGCTGACGGCCAGGTCAAGTGTGATGATCTTTGTCTTGTTGTAGTAGTCCTTCAATGGGAGGTCGGTGTAGTGAACACCCAGCTCATGGTGATGAAAGCCGATCGCAACCTTTGCCGTCACGGTGATGATGATCTGGGTTCCCTTGATAACGATTGATCCATCAAGCTCATAGTTGTAGTCCATGAAGATGCTAACAGTGTGCAATGAGTTCTCCGACTCGTCTTTGGCTTTGTGGGTGAAGGATAGTGTGTGAGTCTTCAATCCCCCGTCCCTCACTGGTGTTGGGCTGTGGGCGACGAATCTAGCTGGATGCGCAGCATGGTGAAATCCGGTCGATATGTAGAACGTCTCTCCACTATGATGTGTTGTGCAGGAGGTGTCGAAGCAAAGCCACTCACTGGGGGTTGCCGCTTGCTGCGTGAGGTAGCTAAGTATAAAGCTGCGTCGCACTGACAGGACTCCTGACATCTGGCTGACGTCATTGGCGTTCAACCAGTTCCATGTAAAGGGTTCAATACCAGGAGGCGTTGCTTTTGTGGAGAGGTTGTATACTAAGCAAGAAGCTGGGCTTTGAGTTTCCTGGCCGCCGACCAGGTATGGTGCTGTCGAATAGGCCAGTGACTTGAATGCAACCGTAGAGGAGGGCGTCGGGTCAACCTTCGATGTGACGGAGTAGCCGAAGATGGGGTTGCCAGTCTGGCGCAATTGGCTGAAGTAAGCTCCTATGAAAATCTTAGATATCATCGCCCATGTAGGGCCGAAGTCGGCGTTGTCGGTGACACCTTTGATCACCGGGTTGGCCACAAGCGATGCTGTCTCCAGATCCAGGAAAAGCTTCCGCATGCTGAAAGAGTTAGGGCCAAACTTATGTATGAACTGCTTAATGCGTGCTCGCACGTCGTCCGGGACTGGGGCGTCGGGGTTGACAGTGTTCATGGTGAGGTCCACCAAAAAAGTTGAAGTACCATGGATTTTTTTCGCGCTGGAACCTGAAGGTTGGATCTTGTTGATCGCGACAGCTTGGCCGAAGCCAGCGTACGTGAGGCCACATATCTGGAACTCAGAGGACGTCAAGTTGAAGGAGACCGGACCGTCCGAATGCTTGCCCAGAGTGATTAAAGAGGGTATACTGGCCAGGGGCATTTTGGCAAGCCACCCGTCGCCTTGAAGCCTCCGACAAAGCCGACTTTGGCCAAGTTGAGCACGTTTTTGTCAGTTTGGTCAGCACCGTCGGTCAAGCTGAAGGGGTCCGAACCACCGGCCTCATCCACCAGGGTCTTGTAGTCGACCTCCACGATCTCACCTTTGGAGTGAGGCTTGTAGGCGTAGCACTTGAGGACTTCGTGCAGCTCTGCCTTAAACAGATACATCATCATTGTGGCGTTCACACTGGCCTGCGTGACCGCCACAACAGCATCGATGTCCTTGAAATGCGAGAGATCGCTCGCGAAGCCACTCGCAGAGTCTCCGACAGCATTTCCACCTGGTTGGGCTCCAGTCTGGCAGCAACCCATGCTCTGGGAGGGAGGACTACCCACCTACATCAGCTCACAACGGCATGATCATGACCATCGTAGAGTAGAGCTGCTTTAGTCAACTGCAGCAAAGTATTGTTGAAATCTGCTTTAGGATGCATGTCTGCATAGGAGAAGAGAGTGAACGGCCAGCTTGGAGCGTGCAGCCCTCGAACGACAGTGAATGAACACTTGCTGAGGGCTCTTCCACATCCTCAAAACGATCTAACCCCTGTTCTTGCCCACCCTGCTCTTCAATCCTGCCTCGATACAACAACTCTAGGTGCTTATCATGTAATTTGCGCTGGAGGAAGGCTCCAGGCTTCCTAAACAGTGGCCTGTGACTCACGTCTTTGAGCCCCAGACACCTTTTGACTATGCGAGCCAAGGGCGCTACGAAAAGCATCGCGTGGTTCGCGAGCTTACGCTGTGAAACATTGTAACATTGTGAGCTTTGTAGCCAGGCAGGTGTTTGTGTCAGCATATCCTCAAGTGCAGTCGATGTCTCTGGATCTAGCGCACCATATGTGAGTCACTAAACGTCGGAGCACTACCTCGTAACAGTTCGGAAGGCAATTGATGC